GCTAACTAGTATATATCTCCAATCAAGAGGTTGTGAGTTCGATCCCCCATCCCGACATGTTGTACTTAAAAAAAAAGATATTACCATTTTCGTTTTTAGTTTTTAAAAATTATGTTGATTTCCTCACAACCTTTTAGGGTCTAACTTGGGTCATGTACATTAAAAAACCAAACCTCATCCTAAGATGTAAACATTGTATTCTTTTACAAAAACAAAAGTTTTAATTTATTTTTTTAAATTAAAAAAAACCCTACGAATTTTGTTAAATTAAAACAAAAAATAAATAACTTTTTTTTATTTCAAAATTAACAAGATTATTTAAAAGAAAAAAAAACTTTTATTTAAAAATAAAATCAAATTTACTTTAACAAAACTTATTTGCTAAAAAACTGATTTTTTTTTTTTGTTAAGATTCTTTTCAAAACCATAACCACCAAACTATTTAAAAAAAATGAGATTTTATTCTAAAAGACTATGTTTTTATCTCCTTAATTAAAAAATAAAACAAAGTTGACACAAAAAAAAAGTAAACCTTATTAAAAAAAATTGCTTTTAAATAAAAACTATCTCTTAAACTTTGAATCCAAATTTAAAAGAATCCAAATTTTTTTAAACAAAATTTATTTTATAAAAATCCTATTTTTTTAACGTATTTTAACCAAAATTTTAAAGTAAAATCTTCTATTAAAATAAAATTAAGTTTAATATTTATTTCATTAAAAAAAACTCTCCGTTATTAGAAAAAGAAAAACTTTTTTTATTTTAAAACAAATTTTAAAATATCAAAATCCTTATTTTATCTTCAAAAACTTATTTAAAATTAATTTAGAAGATTTTTTGTATCTTAAAAAAATGGTTTCTTATTAAAAGTATTTTCTTTTCAAAAAAGTAAAAAAAAAAAATTCCTTAAAAAAACATTTTTTCTAAAAAAGAAATTTTTTTTGTAAGAAACAAAACAATCTGTTTCAAATTATCCAAAGCCTATTTTCCCTTATTTAAAAGAAAAATTCTTGTGAAGAAGGTTGTTGTTGTTATGTCGTTCACGCGGCTCCCTTGCGTCGTCGGATATTGTGGGTATGAATGAGAAAAGGTGGTGATGGTGGGATAAGAAAGGAGAAGAGATTAATTGGTGGTTATTGAGGAAAAAGATGAGTTTTAGAGATGGAGAGGAGAAGATAGTGATGGGTTTCTAAGTCTCTGTCATGTATGGTTTTGTGTGTGTTGTGTGCCCTTTAAATACAAAAAAAAAATAGCAGAAACATGTGTGAGTCGAGTAAAACTATTGAGAAAAAAAAGGAAAGGGAAGGTAGGAGACACCACGTAGGGAAAGATCAATTCTGTTAAAAATGAACCCATTTGTTTAACATAAAATCTTTATTTTTTTAATTTTTATTATTAATAAAATCAAAATCTTTAAAACAAAATCTATTTTTTTTAATTTTATTTAAACTTTAGCTTATAACCAATAATAAAGTAATTTTTTTAAAAAAATTAATAATAAATAAAAAAATAATTTAAAAAGTTAGTCGGAACAATAACGGTGTCTACAATGTTTGACTTAATTCATAGCCAAATTTCAAAAATAAAAACAAGTTTTTAAAATCTATATTCTTTTTAAAAAATAGAAATTACAAAACAAAGAAATAAATAGGTGAAAGTATAGGTGGAAGTAGCGTTTATAAGTTTAATTTTTAAAATCAAAGTAGGAGTACAAAATGGGTTATCAATCAGGTACTTAGAGATTTCGTTGGGTGGTGTTTTTGTTTTGCGTTTTCTATTTTTGTAAAATATGGGTTTGGTAGTTCCTTATCGGGCACCACTCAAATATTTAAGATGACTCTCTTTTTTTTTTAGGAAATAAGAAGAAAATAACTCAACATAAAACAAATTTCGAAAAAATTAAATTGTCCAGCTACGAGGAAGTTTGACAACTCCACTCTTCCCTCAAATCGTTTTCCATCGCTCGTCTGGCTAAACCATGGGCCACCTTATTTGCTTTTCGACTGATATGTCTCATTGAAACTATTTCTATATCTTCCATCATCTGCCAAAATTCTTTTAAAAGCCAAATAATTTCAGTTTGATATTGACACTGTATGTGAAGTAGATGAATCGCTTTGATTTGTGAGTCAATTTTATTTTAATATTTTTAAAACAAGAAATACAAGGGACAAATTAAAAAAAATTGTCTTCAAAAACAATTTTGAAAATAATGGTTCAAAATAGCTCATTCTTTTAAACAAAATAATGAAATTTTCTTTATTTTCTAAGAAATTTTCCTCGAGATCGAATCTCCGACCTCGAAGAAGGAATACATGTTAATTAGTAATTACCATTGAGTTATGTTCATATTATATTAATATTTCTTCTTTTTGGATATATGGACTAGGATAAATTCCCCACCCCATCACCTTTCTCCGCCGGTACCTTTTTTGAATAAAATTATAAATAGTATTTTACTGTGTTCACATCATCGTTTTAAATATCCGTCAACACGTTGACATTTTCATCTACCTATCATGTTTCTATGGGTTCGACATCGACATGAGGGGTAAATCAACATTTACATCATAGTACAAGAAAATCGACAAAATATAAAAAATATCAACAAAATGTCACTAATATATATATATATAATATTAATTATTTTTAACCAATTTAGAAATAGAAAAATGTTTAGTTGTTAATTTAAATATTTTTTACAATCTTTTTAATTTTTTTAACTTTTACAGAAATATCTATTGACATCAACATTTTATCGATATTTGCATGAAATTGAGACCTCGGCATTTCCATCGATATCGATATTTAAAATACTGGTTCACACTTTTTTTCAATTAATTGAACTGAAAAAATTTGTAATGCAGTTTTTATTTGATGAAAAATGAATAAATAAATAAAGTTCTTTTTAATTTCAGATTTCCATGTCTGTCTTAGTTTAGAGGGATGAATATGACTTTTATTCTTTTTTACAAATTTAACAATTAATATTTCGGATGTGAATTAAAAATGAGGAGCTTAAAAAAAATAATACAAATAAGGATAAAAGTTATAAAGGTGATATTGGAGATATTCTTCTAAATTTTGCCATATTTATTTTTGATAGCCTTGCCAATTTCATTTTATCTCCTCTTTATTCAAAAATCTATATTTGTGCTTTTTGAAGTGGATGGAAATGGAAAAGAGTGAAAATAGAAGAAATAGTAAATAAAAAAATATCTTTTCAATTAATGATAATGTGGAAATAATACTTCAAAATGCTAAATATGTAATTTTGTTCCTAATATTTGTCATTTTCTAATTTCGTCTCTCTCTCTCTCTACTAATTTTTCTCTAACATTTTAAATGTTTCTATCTAATTGATATATTGACCTTTTTTTATTAAATTATTATATCAATAAGTGTTAAAGGAAAAATGATGTTTAAATTTTTAAAGATTTTTTTTGTATGAAGTTGTCTGTTGTTAGTTTAATAGTACCTTTTTAGTGGACCCATTTTCTATAGTAGGAAATAATTTTGAGTCGGATAAATAATTGATGCATTTATATAAATGGAATAATATAAATATGCACTTTGAGATATAAAAAAAATTTAAAATTGTACAAAAATAACACCATCAAAATCAAATTTAAATTTGAATATAATATTAGGCATAATGATAAAAGTCAAATTGATATTATTTGTAATAAAAAAAAAATAAAATATATATTAAATTTATGTCATTTAAAAAAATTATGTGCAAATTATAACTACATGTTAGAGTAGACACTTAGATTTTATGGGTACACATGTCTATTATTTCAATAAATTAAAATATAAAGAATTTTTCGATTAAACATATTTCAATGTCATATTGTCCACTTACTACTAATCATTAATGTTTCATAATAGTAAAATTTTGATTAAAAATATTTAAATAAATAGGTATAATACTCAGAAAAAGTAGTGAATATGGACTAATTAGCTCAGCAGTAATTGACACGTGTCTTCGACCAAAAGATCATGAGTTCGACTCCACCCCTAATTGTTGTATTAAAAAAAACTTAGAAAAAGTAGATTTCGTTGATGAGTAAGCTAAATTTTACCAACGAGTAGATTGAGTTTCACGTGTCAAGTAATATTAGGATGATAAGTTCACTTTCTTATATAAAAATAAAAACATGTTTCACATATCTAAATATACAATAAAAAATTAATTAATTTAATAGTACATCAATTTTTATGGACACATTTTAATAATTTATTTATGAAATATCTTAATTGAAAATTTTTAATACACAAGTTCCTTTTAGTACAACATGTGGGTGAAATTCGAACACAAACATTTTTTGGTTGGATATAAGTGTCTAGATTGACCAACTAAAATTAAAGTTAAAAGTGTCCGATTTGAGAAAAAAAAAAGATTAGGGATTTTTAATATATTTGATATAATAGCCATAATTCAAATTAATTAATAACAGATAAATAAATATATACGTATGCATGCATATAAAGTAAACAAAAAAAGAGTGTCCAATTTAAAAAATTACTTAAAAATATTAGGAATTATTTGGTATATCTATACTAATTACCATTAGTAAACTGAATTAATAACTAATAAATAAATATAAATGTATACCTTTTATATTAGAAAAAGTATATATTTAAATATATAAAACATAAAAAAGTATATATTTAATTCTTTATCTTTTTGAAATACATAAAAAGGAAAAAAAAAACAATCTGATTTTACACATTTTTGTGGTAATTAGTACAAAATGTGCGGGATAATCATAAAAGGTATTATTCTTATTCAAAAATTATGGAATTTATTGGATCCGTCGGTTTCCGAATTTTATTATTATTATTATTAATAGAAAGGTTAGGTAGTAAAGGGAGTCATTACAATATGGCTCCAGCTCAGCTCGGGGCATAACCGTAAATGGCAGAACAAACAAGCCCTCTTTCGTAACTCCATGTCTTTATAATGCATTGCACACAGCTTTCACCTCCATAAAACATGCAACAAAAACCCATCTGTTAACCCACCCCTCTCTTTCTCTCTCCTCTCTCCGGTGGTCCCCCCGGCCCTGTTTCTCTCTCTAAAACCGGAAACGAACGGCGGCCGGAAAAAGCTTCCGG